GTGTGTGTGTGTGTGTGTGTGTGTGTGTGTGTGTGTGTGTGGTGTGTGATGCTGAGGAGCCAATTAATTTAGCGCTTACACAGAATTATACCTCTATCCTCTCTCACTCAGACAGCGAGTGAAGCCAGAACTTCAAATCCCCCCACCCCGACTCTTTTTTTCTTTGTGGTGCTGGGGATTGATCGTAGGGTCTCACACAGGCTAGGTAAGTGCTCTACCACTGAGCTGCATCCCCAGGCCCTGCAAGCCCATGGTTTTCAACACCCTTGACCCTGCGGCTCAGGAAAACAGGGGTGTGGGCGGGGTCAGCCTGGAAGGAAACGAAGCAGGTAGGGATTTAGGAAGCGGAGATCAGGAAAATTAGAGATTCTTGTGGCCATGACTCTTCGGATGTCTGGTGTCCCCTGGTCAGAGGCACTGGCCTTACAGGAACACACATTCCTCGAGTCCCTCCTCTGCTCACAGAAGTCTTTATAGGTGACAGGTTGGGAGGAGCGGGGTAGGAGGCAGAGAGTTCGGACCTTTAAGGCTTGACGCCTGGGTCTTGGGAACGCCTCGAAAACGTGTAGATCATTCTCTAGATAGGTTCAGAAAAACAGGTGCACTCTGACTTCCACTCCTGAGAGGATTCATAGGACTGGAAGCAGCTGTGTTCAGAGACTGGCTGGAAAGGGTTCGCCCAGGCTCATCCCTTGCTAGAAAGGATTCTCTCTAGCCTGGGGTTCCTGTAATATTTACTTCCTTCTGGAACCACTACCCACAAAGGAACAGGGATGTAGGAGATCTTGACCTGGGAGAACACATCCCAGGGCTGGGTAAGCTTTGGCTTGGAAGCAATTCCACACTATCCAAGCGATAGCTCCATGAAGGAAGGTAGTAGCTTAAGGAAAACAAACAGACCAGCAGGCTGCCATAGCCTGGGGGTGGGCCCCTGGAATCCAGCTGCTTCAGTCCATCGGGGCCTGGGCCTGATCCTTCCCTCATGATGAGAGGCCAAGAAGCAGTGGGGCCAGAGCAGCAGCGTCAGTCCCAGCCTGTGTGGAGGGAGCGGCCCCAGATGGGCGGTTCCATTTCCCTATGTTGTTTTCCTTTTTCACATTGTTCAGAGTTTTCAAACATGATTTCATTGTGGAAAGTGAGCAAACATAACCTGACCTTCCAGTCCCCCTACACACACACACACACACACACACACACACACACACACACACACACACACAAGCATACACATACACATATCTACTCAGAGGCCCACAGACACACATGTGGACAAACAGAATAGCTAACAAGGGCTCCAGCTTTGGCTGCTGGTAACCACCTCCACCCTGTGTTTGGCCCAGAACAACTGTGCCTCTGCCTGTGAGAGTCAACCGGCCCCTCCTGTTAACGCTTCCTCTCCTCCTGGATATACCTCAGAACTTGTTTCCGGTACAGGCCTCTACCTCCGGTGGGGGAGGAGAAAGGGGGAGAGAGAGAGAGAGAGAGAGAGAGAGAGAGAGAGAGAGAGAGAGAGAGAGAGAGAGAGAGAGAGAGAGAGAGAGAGAGAGAGGCCCCACCCCATCTCATTCACCTTCCCCTCCCCTCCCCTTGGAGTCAAAATGACAGTCTTCACAGGGGAAACCAATGGGCCCCGAAGTGGCATTACCAGAGACCTAGCGTTCTGGGTGTTGGTCCAGACGGGTCGTTAGTTTAAATAACCATCCCTTAGCCTTGTGTCAGGTTGGTGGGATGCCTAGAGAGGATCGAGACATAGTAAAAGACTCTAGGACTCTGAACCATGAGTGATGACGAGTGAGTGATGTGGCCATGATGGTGACAAGCCGTTTTTGTTTAATCCCCTGCCAAGTGTGCTTGCCTTCCAGCAGGGGGGTCTTAGACAGCCAAAAGACCAAGGTTCCCTCGTGAGCTCTGCTTGGCAGAGTTACCAAGGTAGTCTATATATTTGGTTTGATTTTTCCAGACAGGGTTTCTCTACGTAGCCCTGGCTGTTCTGGAACTCACTATGTAGCCCAGGCTGGCCTCGAACTCACAGAGATCTGCCTGCCTCTGCCTCCCGAGTGCTGGGAACAAAGGCTTGGTCACCATGCCCAGTCACAGTCTATGCATCTTTGCTTTCTCTCACAGGCTACAGCTCTCAGCCTACGACAACTCAGACCTCTCAGGGTAAGATTCGTGGGGCCGACCCTAGGTTTGTGCCTAAGAGCTTAGAAAGGTATTAGAGGGGGGAGCTCTGGTCTCTGGTTTTCTTTTCTTTCTTCCTTTCTTTCTTTCTCTTTCTTTCTTTCTTTCTTTCTTTCTTTCTTTCTTTCTTTCTTTCTTTCTTTCTTTCTTTCTTCCTTCCTTCCTTCCTTCCTTCCTTCCTTTCTTTCTTTCTTTCTTTTTTTTTTTTTTTTAAGACAGGGTTTCTTATGTGGCCCTGGTTGTCCTGGAACTTTCTCTCTGTAGACCAGACTGGGTCAAACTCAGAGACCCACCCTGCCCCAACAGGGCTGGGACGAAAGGCGTGCACCACCAACCACGGGGCCCAGTCTCTTTTTCATTGAACGCAAGTGATGAGATCTTGGGCCACAGGTCTCTGGGGCTCAACTGGCCTCGTCTAACATGGCTTGAAGAGGGCAGAGGTGACCAGTCAGAGGTAGAGGAGGGGAGAAGAAGACAACAAAACAAAACATGAAAACATAGCTTCAGAGAGGAGAAGGGCACAGAACCGTTGAGGGACAGAGGTAACAGACCCTCCATTGATGTGTTTCAGGGCTCTTCAGGAGTCCGAGCCCGCAGACAGTTTCTCTCAGCTCAGGTGAGTGAATGAGTGTGGCTGCTGAGAAGCCCACCTCTACCCTCCCATGCCGGCCCCAGCCATTCGGACGCACTTGGAGCTTGGGGGTTCTCAGATGGGCAAAGGGGTATGACATCACCAGGCCCGCCCCACCTGCCTCCTCTCTCCGTCTGCTTCTGTTCTTGCAGGAGACAAATCTTCCTCAGAGCCTGGCAGCTCAAGGCTTCTCCTGAGCACCGCTACCCCAGGTACTGAGCTGCTGAGACTTCAATAGTGCCTACAAGGGCCTAGGAGGACCCGGGGAAGTGCCAGTCAGCTCTGCAGGAGAATGTAGACTTGTGGCAGGAGGGACAGGCAAACAGGGCCTCACGCTGGTGATCCCAAAGCAGGGCAGCAGGTGTCACGGGACCCACACCAAGGTCAACCCACTTCAGACATCAGCTCTGGGGGGTCCTCCCCACAGGCAGGGGCCTCGAGAACTGACCTGGGAAGGAGGGAGATGAGCAGGTGGAGGCTGTGGGGTGGAAGGTGGGAAGGACGTGTTCCGAGTAGAGCAAACTGCGAAGACCAAGGCTCAGAGGTCTGGCTCCTCCAGAGAATGGCTCCTTCAGAAATTGAAAGCAGGGATGAGAAGGAGGCCTGGGGCTGTAGCTCGGGCACAGGGCTTGCCTAGTGTAAGAGAAGTCTTAGATTTAATCAACACACACACACACACACACACACACACACACACACACACACACACACACAGGAACAGAAAGAAAGGAGGATATTTTGGACTAAGGAACCCTCCCTGTGCATATTCTGGCTGATGCTTTGAGGGGGTCATGTGTGCTTCCCAATCCACAGAAATTCTAGAGAAGGCCTCTCAAGGCTCCTTGGGATCCAGTCAGCCTGTAACGCCCAGGTCAAGCACCACGGATCATCACTCCTTTTCCTTGCCCGGCTTGATGTCGTTCCAGCCACAGAAGCACACATTGGGACTTAGTGAGTACCCAGAGCAGGCGGCGGGAGGTGATGGACCCTGGATATGTCTGGATGGGTTCCTTCTCCCTTTAGCCAGGTGGCCTAAGTGCTGGGTGGAGGTTCTTGAGTCTAGAAGCTACATCAGTGGTGCCCTGGTTTGGAAGATTGTAAGAAACCACTGGAAAGAGGTCGAAACAGGAATCTGGGCCTGCTCATAGCCAAGGCTGAACAACCCTACATTTGGGCCTGAGAAAAGAGTGGGCAGGAGAGGGAAATGGGAAGGGGACTCCCAAATACAGGGTTGGGAAAGGGCTAGACCCTTCTCAGGGTATGCTGGGAGGGATGGGGACCCTCCATCTTGGCCATTTGCTTCGGGTGCAGGCACAGGGACCCCAGACAGCAGCAGCAGCAGCAGCAGCAGCAGCAGCAGCAGCAGCAGCAGCAGCAGCAATGTCAATGACACAAGAGAAGGTATGTCCAGTGTGTGTTCCCAGCAAAGAGCCATATCAATGACCCTTTCTTTCTGATCACGTTTGGATCCTTGCACGTTTTAGACTCCAGGCTTAGGCAGGAGGCGAGCAGAGATGAGGAAACAGGACAGCAAACAGGTCTGGAGTTTGTGACTTTGGTTCTCTCCCTCCACCACGTAGGTCCTAGGGATTGAACTCAGGCCGCCAGCCTTGGTGGCAAGCACCTTTACCTGTTGAGCTGTTTAGCCAACCCAGTATCATTGTAAGAGGAGCAGAAACCTACGCCCCTTACCTGGCAACCCTGCTCTTTGGGTCGGTGCCTTCTTTTCCTTCCATCTTCACTGGTTTGCGGAACATAGATGACTCTGCTTTGCCCAGTCTGTCTTCCCTGCTTCCGCAGCATAAATCCTTTCTTTTGGGCACCAAGTGGTGCTGGGAAGCACCTTGGACCTCCTGGAGTCCTCTGAAACCAGCAATGTAAACAGCCGGCAGAACTATTCCTATAGAGAGGAGAGCTCTCCAGCCTCTGTTTTCAGGGGTCGGTCTAGTCGGTGGCAGGAGGTCCTTTTCAATGGGCTGTTAGCCTCTTCAGGCTCTTACCTCAGGGGATGGGGGAGAGGCTGGCTCCCTTTGCCAGTTCCCGCCAGCACCCTTCACTGATGCACCGACACCCACTCTGTTTCAGAAGTGTCTCTGAATGCTACTCCCAGTTCAGGGACCGCAAGCCTGCGGACCGGGGAAGAGGTGACTGTCATGCCCAGCCCCACGTCAGAGTCGGTGCTAACCGTGGCAGCCTTTGGTGAGAGACGGCAGGGAGGATGGGGCGTGAGAGGGGACTCTACCTCAGGACGGACTTAGACTCTGGATAGGAACGCGAGTTCAGATCTCATCCATTCATTCTGGGGTGGACTTGCTGGTGAGCAAGGCCCTCGTGGGAAGAAGTTTTCACTGACCTTCTGGCCAGTTTTTCTTGGATTTAATGGGCTCCATGCTAGGAGTACCGGCTAATAGAGTACTCATTTTCCCCTGAGAAGCAGAATTCACTTGAGAAGCACACACACACACACACACACACACACACACACACACACACACACACACTCTACTATACTTACCAGGGAAGGGAACTCTAGACTCACCCTTATTGCCCCACCTCTCCCTCCCTGCTCCCACCTCTTCCCCCTGCTCCCCATCTCTTCCCTGCTCAGGTGTTATCAGCTTCATTGTCATCCTGGTGGTTGTGGTGATCGTCCTCGTCAGTGTGGTCAGTCTAAGGTTCAAGTGTCGGAAGAACAAGGAGTCTGAAGGTAATCGTCTTGACGTGCTGGGTTCCCTTGACCCCTGTGTGGACTGAGCCAGAGCAAGGGGCTCAGGCTGATGCCAGCTGGGCTGGGGGCAGGAATGGCAAGAAGCAGCAGCAGCACTTGATGAGATGGGAAGGCGGGCTCGGGTGGGCTTTGAGGGGAAGGCTGGGCATCTGAGTTAGAGCATCTGACCCTAACCTGTGCCCTTGGGGAAGGCTGGGCATCTGAGTAAGAGCATCTGACCCTAACCTGTGCCCTTGGGGAAGGCTGGGCATCTGAGTAAGAGCATCTGACCCTAACCTGTGCCCTTGGGATTTCACAGATCCACAGAAACCAGGGAGTTCAGGGCTATCTGAAAGGTAAGACTTTAGAAGCCTATGAGAGGACTCTTCTATCTAACCTGAAATCCTCCTCCTGCTTCCCCGCCACATACCACACCCATTCACACCACGTGCAGACATATGCCCCACAATCCTGCGGTCTTCCCTGAAGCTGGGCCAGGTTGGCAGGCTCAGGTGAGCAGAGATAAGGGAGGTTCTTTAGCACCAGGGCTCAGCTTCTGTTGTCTCTTAATGAAAAGTGCAGGAATGCAGATTCTGATGTAAGATACATCCTCTCTAAGCTCAGGAAACTTTGAAAACCTACCGTGAAGCCAGGTGTGGTGGCTCACACCTTTAATCCCAGCACTTAGCAGACAAAGGCAGGCAAATCTCCGAGTTCATGGCCAGCCTGGTCTACAGAGAGAGTTCCAGGACAGCCAGGGCTACTTAAAGAAACCCTGTATTGAGAAAACAATAAAAACAAACTTACTATGTACTGTACACAATGGCATTCAATTTATGATATTGTCTCAAATCTTTACAGTAATGCTTTTTATTTGTTTGTTTGTTTTCAAGACAGAGTCTCACTATGTAGCTCTATCTGTCTGAGAACTCACTATGTAGACCAGGCTGTCCTTAAACTCACAGAGATCCACCTTCTCTACCTTCCAAGTGCTAGGATCAAAGGTGTGTGCCACTATGCCTGGCTTTTTTTTAATTAATTAATTAATTAATTAATTAATTTTATTTTACAATACCATTCAGTTCTACATATCAGCCACGGGTTCCCCTATTCTCCCCCCTCCCACATCCTCCCCTTACCCCCAGCCTACCCCCCATTCCCACCTCCTCCAGGGCAAATCCTCCCCCGAGGACTGTAATCAACCTGGTAGACTCAGTCCAGGCAAGTCCAGTCCCTTCCTCCCAGACTGAGCCAAGTGTCCCTGCATAAGCTCCAGGTTTCAAACAGCCAACTCATGCAATGAGCACAGGACTTGGTCCCACTGCCTAGTTGCCTCCCAAACTGATCAAGCCAATAAACTGTCTCACCTATTCAGAGGGCCTGATCCAGCTGGGGGCCCCCTCAGCCTTTGGTTCATAGTTCATGTGTTTCCATTCATTTATGCCTGGCTTTTATAGCAATTCTTTAAGGGATGTTTGACCTTATTTTATTATTATTTTTTAATCATTTGTTTAATTTTATTTTATGCTCATTGGTGCGAGTGTCAGATCTCCTAGAACTGAAGTTAGAGACAGTTGTGAGCTGTTATGTGTGAGTGCTGGGAATTGAACTCAGGTCCTCTGGAAGAGCAGCCAATGCTCTTAACTGCTGAGCCATCTCTCCAGCCATCAACTTTATTTTATACATTAAAAAGTTGTTGGTGATGGAGAGACAGTTCAGCAGCTAACAGTATGTACTTCTCTTCCAAAGGTTCTAATCTGGGTTCCCAGCACCCACATTGGGCAGCACACAGACTCCTGTAACTCTAGCTCCAGGAAATCCAATGCTTCTGTCCTCCAAGGACACCCATACTCCTGGGTACACCCGCCCCCACCCCACTCAACACACACATACACATACATTTAAAAAATTTTAAATTTAATCTTTTTTAAAAACTGGGGCTGGAGATGTAGCTCAGCTGGTAGAGCGCTTGCCTAGGATACACAAAGTCCTGGGTTCTAGTTCAATTATTGCATAATCCAGACCTGGGGGTACACAGCTGTAATCCCAGTACTTTGGGAAGTAGGAGGCAGGAAGATTGGAAATTCAAGGTCATCAGTGACTACAGATGTAGTTTGAGGCCAGCCTGGGCCATATGAGACCAATCTAAAAATCAAACAGACAAATACCACCCAAATAAAACAAACAAACAAACAAAAAACCCTGAACACAAGACAGGCTGTAACTTTGTCAAGATCAAACAACCAGTAGACAGTAAACACTGTCTTGTTTTGAGGAGAGTCTCACAGGGCCGGGGTTGGCTTTGAACTCACTGTGCAGCTGAGGATGGCACCGAGCTCCTCATTTTCCTATCTCTTACCTGCCAAGTGCTGGCTTTATAGTTGTATACCACCAACCCAACTTGAAAAAGAACAAAAACACTTTAAATACAAGTCCCCTGGATTTCAGTGTACATTCTCATTTTACAATGATCTGTCCCTAAACCCAGTTTTCTGAAACGAAGATTGACGGTACGGTACCCCCAAGTTCCCTTTACTCCCCATTGCTCTGTCCCCTCCTCTCTGTAAACTGGATCCCTTCCCGTCTCAGCTGCTCCACGGCCAATGGAGAGAAAGACAGCATCACCCTCATCTCCATGAAGAACATCAACATGAATAATAGCAAAGGCCGCACCTCAGCAGAAAAGGTACAGTTTTAAATTTTTCTTCCTTCCCCAGATTCACCCGCCTCCACTCCTCCTCTCCCCTCCCACCCCAACCCTATTTTCAGGTTCTGGTTCCTTACCCAGAAAGGCTAACGCCATGATCAAAGACCCAGGCTCTCTCCTCTGCTCTCCTACCTTGCCCCTCCCAAGTTCATCATTCCTCATCGTGTATGTTTTTCAGATTCTTTAAAAGTGACCTTGAGTTGCCATGGGTCCAAGTGTGATGCAGATGCCCACTGACCATGAGGAAGAAGAAGAGATGAGATTGTTGAAGGCAACAGACCACATATAAATTATTTTGTTTCATGTCTGCTCCCAGCTCTAAAGGATATCGAATTCCTCTAGATCCAGAAGCAGCTTACCATATGAGAAACTGTGTCCCATGTGGAAGCCACTCTAGACATTTGGCCTGCTCTCCTTCCTCCTCAGAAACTAAGGAATGAGGAGTCAATAGAGCAAGAGCCAAGTAATAAGGTAGACTGGTCCATTCTACTCACATTAAAATTATTTTTCTGGCCTGGAATCCAATTTCTTTTAAGATCTATGTTGCCCTCTCCCTTCCTTCCTTCCTTCCTTCCTTCCTTCCTTCCTTCCCTCCCTCCCTCCCTCCCTCCCTCCCTCCCCCCCTTCCTCCCTCCCCAGGTCCTGCTGGATCTGAAAAGTTTAGGACGGGGTGTGTGGGGTTCTAGTAGGCGTGTCCCTCTCTTTGGG